AGAAGCAGAAATTAATACTTGAGACGCTTTTGGGTTATCTGAAACAAAGGAGAATTAAAATTGTTTTTTGTAGGCATTGATATAAATATTTGTTGGAAAAAAACTCTTCTTCGTTAAACAATAGGGAGAAAAAAATAATTTGATATGTTTTGTAATATTTTATCCAGTATATTATCCAATATACAAGCTGGTAATAATATGACGAATTAAAATAAATATTTTTTAATTAGTTGTATTTCATATATAAAACAAATAACATAATTTTCTCGTATCAAAAAATATATAACAAAGATCCCTTAGTATCCGCGCCATTGCTAAAAAAGAAGATAAAAAGAATAAATACTTAAAAATCCAGGTCTTATTAATAATCAATAAATAAAGCGTACATTTTCGTATACCAAATTTTGTGTTTGTTCCAACCTCTTTAAAATATACAATTAATAATAATATACAATTGTTAAATATATTTTTATCAGCGATTAAAATTTAATCTTTCTTAATCGTTTCTAAATCGAGATATTGCGATTAATTTTTATGATTGAAAATCATAATCACATCGAAGGAAAGGAAAAAATTCGAAAAATTTATTTTGCAAAAATAATATCACAATCCCGATTTTACTTAGCAAGTATTCGTTTTATGAATAGCTTTTTTTTCTTCTTACTAAAAAGCTTACGAAATAGCAGTGTTCAGCAGTTCAGCCCGCGCAGAGAAAGAGTGGCGGACAGCCCGGCCAATGTAGTACTTAGTACTAAGCCCAATAGGGCCTAAAATCTCAAGTCTCCACTCAGCTAGTTTCACTGCCCGTAGTTTTGCCCTCGGCATTGATCGCAAACGACCAAAAGCACTCGCGTCTGTAAATAACAGACCGAATGAAACAACATTGCTACTTAAAGACATACCAGAAACCTACTTTATCGAACAATGTTATAAGATTCACTCGTAGATTCATCGTCTACAAAATTTCTTATTTTTCACTTCCATTTTTCACTTTTGAAAATTAATTGATCGATAAAAAGAAACTATAAGTAATAAGATTTACATAAAAGACTTTGTATAAGATCGAAGAAAAGGAATATTTTCTAGAATAATTTTCTTAGCATCGTTTTGCACCATTTGCGATATTAATGCATTACGTATGGCTCGATCTGTTCGCTCAACACGTTTCCAAAGCTCGCACATTTTTGAGCGCTCTAAAGAAAGTATACTATGCATATATGTATTTTTTCACATACTTTTTACTTTTTTTACTTTTTTTCACATATTTTTTACTCATTCATGTTAATAAAGAATTCTTAAATATTACTATATATTTCTTATATATCTATTTATTATGTAGACTTTTTTACATTTTAAATAAAATTAAATCGATTAATTATTATTTACTTTACAAACTCGAATAATGCTTCAGAATATATTTGGCAAAATATTCTTCTTTGTGCAATGGTTAATTCGACAATATTATTTACAATTATATCGCTTCTTTTTCCATTGGACGAACAGACTTTATATTTTTTCAAATTCTTTTTGTCATCGATCGAGTCGAAAAAACATTAAAACGAAATATCTCGTAACTCGTACGCAACGTGTTAATTTATCGAAATCGTCGTCGAAATTCTCTGATTATTCTCGGAAAAAAGGGAGACGATCGAAAGGGGGGATGCGAAAGGATGGGGAGATACTACTCCCTAGTCTAAAGGAGGAGGGGTTCAATTTCAACGACGATACCAGGTAGGACGGGGTTGAATACCGCATAGATCACGCGTATTCTTACGTTCACACGCGTGCCGGCGAATTCCCTGATTCGTTGGTTACACGATGGCCGGAGCATTGTTGCCTGCTAATTTACGGACCAATTAATTAGCGCCACGGAGCTCAGATATTCCTGGCTTCCCCCGTCGCTCGAATCGCGCCCCTCCACATACTCCCGGCGTTCCCTCCTTTTCTAGTCCCTCTCCTCCCCTCCCTTTTCTCTGTGAAACTCCGTCCCCGAATATATATTGTTATCAGCGTTTCGAGCGTGTTGCTCCCCTCCCTTTTCACTTCGTTGAGGCATCGATGGATTCGCTTTACTGTGGATCTTATTCTTGTGGGGACGCGTTTAAGTCGTAAGTCTTTTCGATTTTTCTGATTTCAACGAATCACGAAATTATTCTATATTCTTGTTTAGGAATCGATATTTTAATTTTTGAATTGTAAAGAAGAAGGAGAAGAGAAGAAAAGGGTGGTATTACTTTTAGAATAATAATAAAGTTAGAGCATCTCTAATGATTTTTATATTTGTAATATGATAAAGGATGGTAAAAAAAGAGAGCTTGGATTCTATAAAGACAATGATGTGTTAATAACGTTTCATAATTGATTCTCTTTGAAACGTGTTGAATTTTCACGCTTGTTTGATTATTTTATTATAAATAAGAGAATAATAATAATAAATATTGGTACATAATTTTGTATTTTAATATTATATATTTTAATATTATAATATTTCTTTGTCTCGAGAACAAAATAATCAAAATTTTGAACTTAATAATAAAACTCGATTTTTAAAAGAAATTTTTTTTTTTAAATTTATATTGATCGATACTTTTTTTTTTTCATTTTGTATGATCATCCTGTCTAGCAATAAATAATTTTAGGATACGAATCCATTTAAGAATAAAACTCTTGATATTCATTAACGAAGAAGACTTTCAAATATACGATTCTTACGTATTTTATTTATTATTAGCTATCAAAATAAATAAGATAAGATTGTCATCACATAACAATGAAATGTAATTATACAAAAAATTAAAGCGCTTTTTAAATTTAAGTATTTTATACATCGTGCATGAATTATTGAATAAAATTTCCGTTAGATTTTTTGGTACGACGTAATAAGATCTAATATCGTCGTTAAAACTTGCAATCGAGAGCGTGAAATTTTAAAATGAAAATAATAATTTTAAATTCTTTTTTAAATTAATTTTAATCGCAAAATAAACACTTGTTTTACACGTTTTTTTTTCTCTATTCCCCTTTCGAGAATATTCCCTCGAATATTCGAAGAACAACTCCGCAATGGGCGGAGTTAACTTTTACCGAAGAGAGTAAGAACGTTTGGATGTTTCTTGGCGGGAAAAAAAAGAAGAAAAAAAAAAAAAAAAAAAAAAACGAGGGACGCGCGTGAATGCTCGCGAACGTTATAGATGACAGTGTCACGGACAGAAGGTCGACACGGCGGACAGGACAACGCGGTGTCAGTGTCGCGGGGTGCAGAGTGCAGGAGACAACGAATAATTCATCCCTTTCTACCGTCGTCCCTCTGCAGAGATGCGCCGCACATGTCGTCGCCCAAATATCACGCTTGTTGTATGCGCTCGCCTGTACTACTCGCGAAATATAATCTTTCAAGTTGCGTGGTCAACTCATTCAACGTCGTGCGAGCTTATTTTTGAGTTGAATCACTTGGGGGGGGGAAGCCAGATGTCTCGACAAGTGCGCGAAACACTTTATGGGTTTATGTTTGAATGAAGTTTAGTTCAGAGGAAGAAGAAATAAAAGTAAATATAATATAGCGATTTATTTTAGTTTCGTTAGGTTAGGTTTCGTTATTTAATTATTATTGAAATTATCATCTGTTGATAAAGAAACAATTATTCTTGTTATAAATTAGGTAATTTAATTTAATCATTATAATAGAATTCAAAGAAGATATTAATAATTTTGCATTTAATTTCCTGTTTATTATTTAATGGGATGAATATTTAATTTATTCATTGAATTAAATTATTAATTTAATTGCATCAAATTAATACAGGCCGAACGGTATTAATTATTTAATATAGTTGATAAAAACTTTTTTTTATGTGTAACAAAAACTCTAATATAAGAAAATCGTATTTAATTAATTAATATTATGATATTAAAAAAAATTATAATTATTTACAATCTTTCATAATTTTTTGATATATGGATAGTCAATCCATATAATTTCAAAAATTTTTAGTTTATATTTGAAAATATAAAAGATTAAATAAATTTATTATAAGAAGTTACGTAATTTTTTTAATTTACAAGAAACTTAACTTTTATTTCGTTATAATTTAAATTATTTACATTTATTCATTATTATAAGATTCATTTGTTTAAGTATTATAATATGCATATTTGTTTTGGATATTTCATGTCACTTTGCATACGATATAAATTTTACATTGAAATTTTCCATAAATGCATAAACATCCACGGTCTAGTTATAAAATATGAAAATCTCTAGGGCGCCAATTTACCAGCAGGGAATCTCAACGTAATACCACCTTTCTCTCTAGCTCTACATTTCCACCAATGGTGTTAAATTCACGACAAACAATTTTCAATAAGCATCTCTTCCAATAAAATTCTTTCAAAATTTCTACGAAACTTAAACAATTGACAAATTTCAATTGATTATTTCCATTTGTCATTTAATTAAATAAATAACTCTTTTAAATTTAATTATATTTATATTTATATATTTATAAGACACTTGATCGTGTCTCATGATAGACAGATTAATTTCTGACAGCAACGTCGCGATTCATCGTCGCTCAAAAGTGCGAGCAAATAGGCGGAAGATAACGATAACGTCCACGCCAATAACGACGGTCAGCTATGATTATTAATCATGTGCAGGTTGCGCGTGCGAGTGTCAGCGGTGCGTGGGGAGTCTGACTAATCGTTCCGCCATTGCGGAATAATATACCCATGGCAGTCGAGCCTCGTTTTGCTCCTGTGTTTCTATAGTTTAGACATTACACTATACTTGCAGTTTGTTTTGTGCGATATCATTATAATAACAATTTCGACTGCAAATGATACGATATTTGGAAAGTTTTATTTTATTCTGATCCGTTTTCAATAATATTATCGAAAGAAGAGATATATATTGTAATTTTGGATATATGGAAATAATAATAGAAAATAATAATTAAAATATACTTATTTATATTTCAATGATATAGATATGCAATAGACACAGAAAATCATTTATTTTCTTTGATGCTTTAAAATTGTGACATAAATATTTCTTGTGTGAGTATATGTTTTCTTTTTTTCTAATCTTTAATTTTTTAAACAATGATTAGAACTTTTATAACACATCGTTATGTATAGTTTAGGTTATGTGTAATTGAAAAGCATAAGCATGAGAAACATGATTAGAGTTGAAAGTAATCCACAGAGAATATACGATGAAGAATATTAGTTACTTTCTTCCTGTGTTATCAGATAAAATTGATGTAATACATTAATTATAATAAGAACTGGAAAGTATTTACATAATTGTAAATATCAATATGGAATATCTTTATCTTTATATATGGAATAATCAATCATTTCATACACGATTATCTTACATCTATTAATGTAACTTGTTTCAACAACAATATTTCGATCTTTTAAATCTAAACTTTTATATTTTATACCAAAATATAAATATAAATATAAATAATTTTATCGCTAGATAAATAATTATCGTGGGTCGAAATTATTTCGTTTTAAAAACATTTCTAAACTAAATTTTAATTTTCGATTACCCATCAGATCAGATTAAATTCAATAATCACAATAAATCATCCAGGTTTACCGTTGGAAATTTTTTCTTCTACCGGCCTGTTTCAACCTGCCGGTTGTGCGAAAACAAGATGAGCAGCATCTTCCGGCCAGGATATTTTGCGGGAAAGTACAAAATCCTCCAGTAAACCAAGGGAATCCTACGGCTGGTGGCTTTATCCTGGAACGGTCCCGCGCTAATGCAGCAATAAACATGCATCTATCTGAAGCAGAATCGAGTCGCGGCTTCGCCAGACGAGAACAAGGAGGCGGAGAATAATATGCATCAACGTAAAAGAAGAAGCGCAACCATGAAACTTTTTAAGTTGAAATGTAAATATCGAAGTTTGTAATGCAATTATTTAGACAAGAATAAGTGAATTATTTAAAAATTTTTCAGATTATACACCACTATGTTAATCTATTTTTAAGACGGTGAAATAATAAAAAGAAAAGGAAAAAAGGAAAAGAGTAGTGAGTTTTGCGAAAGTTGGAAATATATAAATTGATATAGTTGGAACTTTGATAATTTCAATTGATAAATTGTCTCATAAAAGTTCAAAACTTTTCTTCCAGAATGTTTTATAAGTAATATTCACATATAAATATTGCATTTGCTTAAAATTTTCTTTGAAAACAACGATAATATGTTGTGAATAACTTGGAACTAAATAATGTTGTTTTTATAAAGTAAAATTATTTACATATATATGCTATAATAACTCATAAATTATATTTTAGGAAAAATATTTTCGAATAATTTGGAATTAAAATATCAAAACAGCAAATTGAAAGTTCACAAATTTGGAATTATTTATGGAACTTTTACATGTAAAATGTAATTCAAAAAATGTAATTCAGAAATTTTTGAGTTATATCAACAAGTGAAATGAATATTCTATAAATTTATATAACAAAAATAATTTATAATAAGTCAGAGTAACATTTCAATAAAAAGAATTTATATCTAAGAAAAATAATTATTTTAAGATGTATTATGCATTGATGCATTGAAAAAATGATTACGATGGAAAAAATCGATTAAATGATCATTGTTTTTGTAAAAAAATCTGCTTTAAAATCATATAAAACGACTTAGAATCATATAAATGACTTTTCACATGAATTTTGATATTGTATCACCAATTTTTTCATTTAAATATCAGAGAAATCTGTCAAAACTTTAATTTCAGAGTAATATATGCGATATTAGAATTCGTTCAATGATATTGAATCTGTTAATTTTCGCATTAACTCTCTTCATTAAATTTTCATCGCTTCATTAATCATTATCGTTAATCGATCGCTTTGTTCTTCGTTATGAATATTTGTTTATGCTTGTCGAAACAAACCATTGTCTTATTTTACTATCACAATTACGCCATTATTAATTACGATTCATAAATATCACGAATTGTCTAAAATTTTCTGCAGCATTCGATCTACCATAATTTATTCTAACCTAACTTTTTTACTAAAAATAAATAATTGCATTTTTACAACATAATTTTATAAAATTGATAATAAACAAATTTAATCTATTCTAACCTGACTTTTTGTTTTTTACTAAAATAATAAATAATTGCATTTTTTATAAACATTATTTTACAAAATTTATTACATACATTCGTTATAAATCATTGATATGCGATAATAAAAGAATTTATCTAAGATTGAATAGTCGATTAACTAAGAAATTAGGAAAAGAAATCATATAATTACTATTAATTTGATTTTCTATTTTTATTGGCGGGAATTTTAAAGTCTTATTAAAAAATACGTCTCGTATATCACGTAAAAATCGCGTATACGAGATAACGCAACTCGTTGGTCCGAATAAATCGATGTATTGAAGAGATAAACATTTCGAAAATTTAAATGAGAAAAATGGAAATACAATCCACGTCGATGAATATTATTTCCGAATCATAAAGCTTGTATAATCATATAATATTAATCTCGGAAAATTTGAATTAATATAACGAAAATATTAATAAAACTAATTCACCAATTTATTTAAAAATAAACATATAAAACTAATCACAAATTTATAAAATATATCTATGAAAATATTATTATTAAATTATATATTTTATCTTCTTTCCAAAAAAAAGATAGAAATATGTATATGAAATCAGAGTTTCGAGTTCATACGAATTGATTGGCTGACTACCAATGAATAAACAAAGTAAACAATGATTGATCGATTGAATCGATTTACCAAAAACCATAGTGGAATAGAATGTTGATTAATCGGCTTAAACGAGGCACAAACAGCCTGGATAAATCAAGATCCATTATCGAGTTCCACAAAGAAATAATTAGAAATGCACTTTCTTTACAATTCATTTATACATTTTAAAAATTATGATACATATATCAGGTATAATTATTATAATAATTCTTAATTTCAAAAAATAATGGAGAGAAATCTAATAGAAAAAAAATTAACATTACTAAATAAAAGTGTAAAATCATCAGGTTAGATCAGATTACTGTATACATAACATAATCATTTATTTTAAGAAAGAAAAAGAAAAAAAACAAAAATTCTAGAAATTAGATATTAAAGAAATTCGATATTTATAAAACTTTATAATCGAAACAGAAAATTCCTACACGATTCAATAATTTGATAAATTTAAAATAAAAAAAGAAATATTAAAAATAAATCAATACAAATGAAAGGCTCTTAAAATGGCGGAAACTTGTAGCAATCGTAAACTTAAGAAAAAATGTGATGACAACAGCCATACGGATTTAACTCTCAGCAAATATTTTGAACTCTGTTCATAAAGTTCACTCTTTGAAAGGAAAGAAATGTTTATATATATCCTAGATTATTGTTTCTCTATCTGCAAACAGTTGTAACAATTTACCCATCATAATCCCAGACACTGTCCCATACATATTCCCATAAGAATTGCTCATGCTTGCAAATTACTTGCCACTATATCCTTAAGTGTATAAACAATTAGTATTTGAATAGTATTTGATAAAATTCTTGAAAATTATCTTATTTCTTCTGTTAATTAATTATTTAATATAAGAGATTTTAAAAAAAAACGTATAGAGATACTCCTTTTGGTAATCGTGAAACTATTAATCTTATAGACTTGATGTTTATATATATATATATATATATATATAATAGAATATATAATATATAATAAAAATGTTAATACAACACTTCCAATCAACGATGCTACTCTTATTTAGGTCATCGAATAATAGATTCCCGGTTCATTCATTAAAAGACACTCTATTTTTGTAGTAATAACGAAAATAAGTTACCCGACAGTATTTTTATTCCGACTGGTATAGCACGCGTACGTGGCGCACAATACGGAAAGGAAGTTAATTACTCCTCGCTCCCATTTCGATTTTTTGAATAGCCAGCCGCTCAACAAAAGGAGAGAAAAGACATAACGTCGCTGGGGGGGAAAAAATAGGTTGCGCCGTGAAGGGCCTGTTTTGAAATATTTTACTACTGTTGCTACTCTGCCGCAGGAATTTTTTGAACCTTGGATATTTTTTTTCTTTCTTTTTTAATTTCGAATTTTTTTTTTTCTTTTTTTTAAGGTTTTTAATAAACGCACATTTCGCTTTCCTTCCTTCTTTTCTCCCTCCCGATCTTCGTTGTCTTCGATGGATATTTTATTTATAAATAAACTAGAATTTCAAATTAATTTTAAAACTTGTAATTACGATAACACACACTTTTGCGAGCCTTTGTTTTCGAGAGATCTTATTTTTTAATTAACTTGCCAATTGTTCAAATTCTTGTACCGTTTAAATTTAATATTTCAGAATCCTTTAGAGATGAAAAACTTTTGGATTTTTTTTACATCTTTCGATCTGTCGATTTTCATAAATTGTTAAAAATGTATTTTTTGAATTTTTCTTTTTAATTGCAATTTTTTCGAAATTTTTTTACGCGTCATTTCTTCTTTTCCGAAGGAATTCGAGTCGTTTGATTCGATTTTAAAAAATGTTATTTCATTTTTATAAAGGACGATCAATTTTATGAAAGTGAAATAATTGTTTATTTACATGGTAGATTAATTCTAGAAAAAAAAAATTCGCGTAAAAAAGAATGCACATAAAAATCAGAAAAATGATTCATATATGGAAACTCGAACAATAAGTTATTTTTCAAATATATTTAATTTTAATGGATATACTTTTTATTCTAAATACTTATATTAAAATTCATACATACATACGTAATTTCATTTCCTAAAATTCAAATTAAAACGAATATACACGGGTATAAAATTTTAGAATTATTACGAAAATATTCTTTTCAACAAAAAAGTTTTTAATTCGATTTAATTTAATTTCTTACGTAATTTCATTTAATCTCAATGAGTCTACGCCATTGGAGACAAAGATACAAATTTTTCAAACGGAAGAAAAGGAGGTGAAACATTTTCAAGCCAATGAATAATGCTTATTCCAATATTCAACAGAGATCTCGAGACACTCTTCATCGAAGTTTCGAAAGTATTATCCCATCGATTGTGGGTTTTCAGCTTTTTTTGGAACAAAAGAGTCGAGCGAGGAACGGTTGATTATAACGAGCGATTAAATTTTTCATTATCGAAGAAATTCTGCAACGTCAGAAATAAGTAATAATCAGCAGATCGCTTGAGTGCCGCGTCTTCTTGTTTTCCTATCCAACATTGAATTTCAATCTCAACAAAAGTCAAAGCTATTTTTCGATATCCAAATCAATACCCAATCGATGTATCGAGAAAAATTACACACAAAATATTAATAAGTTCGTGAAACATTTTTGTGAAAGCTCAATTCTAGAAATCAAAGATTTATTTATTAAGTAGATTGTAAATTTTTGCACATATTTTTCTTCTGATATTAATTATATAATTAAAATATTAATTATATAATTATAAACAAATTTAACCATATTCTAAATAAAAGCTTCTGATTACAATACGATATTAAAAATTGGAAAAAATTTTGAATAGTTTATCTGTCACATGAAAAGAATAATTTCTATCATATGGATTTTTCAGATCCATGAGATTGTCGTTAATTTATATTATAAGATTTAAATAAATCTTAGTTACATGTTATTGAAATTTTGTATCATTACCAAATTATATTTTTCTTGGCTTAACTCTAAGCTAAACACTCTTTTCTTATGCGAAAAATTTGAATTTCTAATATATTATTAAATGATATTCTCATATACTCTATTTATAGAACACTTACATTATCACACTTGCAATAACGATATTATTCCACACTCTAAACCCACAAATATATTAACACACACTATGTATATACATATCATTCGAATTCGAGTTTCCAATAAGTCTTCATACACTTTTTCTCCCTTTAATATTTTCGCATCTTCTTCTCGTTTGATCACTTTCGAAACGTTCCAATGTTTCAATATTAAAATAAAAGTATTCCCGCGGAGCGTCGAGAAAATTACAATTCCGAAACATGTCTGCGTCGCATCTCATTGATGGCAATGGACAAAGCTCTCCAAACTCATATTTATTCGCCGTCTGGTTTTTTCTTTCTATGCTCGAGGAGAGAATCTCGCTTGGACCAAAGCATTGTACTGTTTCAATCTTAAAGCGATGCGCGAGTCAGAATACAGAGCCCTCTCTGTATTTATACATGAAT